CATTATGGCAAGCAAAATTTTCAAATTTAACAATCTGCTCTCACCAACTTCTGCATAAATTAACAAATAAAGAAGCAAATAAACCACTAATATTAGGGCTCTGGAGGCAGAACACCCAAGAGAAGAAAGAATCAGGACAGCAGAGAATCTTTTAAGATGTTAGCAAGGCAACTTTACCCTTGTAGCCCTTCTTTGTCCCAGGGCAAAACCTAGTGGAAGAATGTTTGAATTTCCACAGCCTTTACACACACCCACTTTACAGTTTACACACACCCAACTTTCAGAAAGCCCAAGAGTTGGGCTGGGGATGTGGCTCAACCGGTAGTGCTCTCGCCTGGCATGCATGCAGCCCAGGTTCGATCCTCAGCACCACATACAAACAAAAGATGTTATATCCGCCGAAAACTAAAAAAAAAAAAAAAAAAAAAAAAGCCCAAGAGCTTTGCAGCAAACCTCAGCCTAAGTCACTCAAGCCAGAGGAAAATTCCATACAGTATGAAAGCTGTAGAATGAACATTAAAGCTTATGGAAGGAATAGTAAGCTCAAGCAAAATTTAAAAAATTTTTACCAGGTAGAGAGATTATACAACATTTCTCCTCCTCATCTAAACAGCCTTGTATAGGAAGGTGCTAAAACTATAAATCTTCCTGTCTTTTAGGAATGCTCTATACAAATGTTTATAGGTCCCAGGCACCAATTACTACCTCTCCATTGAAGGGCTTTACCATCTTCCCCAGGGTCATTTCTGCATTCCAGACATGTTCATAGAAGGAGGGGCAGATACCTTCTAGTGGGACAGCTTGGGTCTAGGGCCAGACCCTCAATTTCAGCCCTAACTGATTTGAAACACAGAGCATTAAAAAAAAAAAAGTCAAGCAGCAAAACATAAGATACAAGAATGGTCATAAGTTAATTCAGAGCCAAGGTCTGGGAAGGCAGTAAGTGCTAACAGGTATTCAGGGGAAGGATGGTGATGGTGATTCATGGCAGAAGTGGCTTTGTGCTATGAGAGGGTTGTACATTTCAGATGCAAAAACAATGAGAACAATGTGTCTAAGACTCAACTGCATGCCTAGCACCTAGTAGGTACTCAGTAAATACAAGTTCATTGGCTTTACTTGAGTTGGGTGACTAGGATTCCAGAGACTAAACCTTCACTCCAGGCTGCAGCAGTGGCAAGAAAGTGTGGTGGGCAATGCCAGGTTCAGACAGTACATCCCCAGGGCGATAACCTTGAACTGGCAGGAGCAGCCAGGCATGCAGTTGGGCTGAGCTGAACCAAAAGCACCAACAAAGGGGTCTTGTCCCTGCAGCTAGTATCAGGGATACCAGCCTCCATCTGCCCCCAAGGCCTCAGGCCCAGATAAGGAGATGAAATCCTGCCTGAAGAACATGACTCTGCCCACTCAGCTCTTAAAACCCTACTGCCCACCTTGGCACTGCCTTGAGTCCTAATACCAGGCCCAGCCACATGGTGCTTCACAGGGCTTTGAGATCCCTTTGTTGGCTGGACGGTTACAGTCCTGATCAAATCCAAGCCTTCTTGAGGTCTTCTGCAGCTTCTCTCATTTGCCACCACTTCCAGGCTTCTATCACCCCAGCTCAGTCCTTTCCAGAAAGTTCTCTGGCTTGTATAAACTCTCACCAACTAATACAAAATCATTTGTAAAGGCAATGTAGTCAGATTCAATCTCTTATCCAACCATTCCAAACTCTAAAAAGCTCTAAAACCTTAAAAAAAAAATTCGGTAATTCACACGTAGAACCTGTCATGAGGGTATTTATGATTTTATATACCCCATTTAGTGTGAACATTCATACATTTGAATACAAAAATATCAATGAGGCTGATTCCAAGATTCCAGGTGCCACCTCAGACCCTACTGTGGTTTTCCTTATTATATGTTTTATGCACATTACTCTTCTAAAATCAAAAAGATTCTGAGCTGGTTGTGGTGGCACATACCTGTAATCCCAGTTACTTGGGAGGCTGAGGCAAGAGGATTGCAACTTTGAGAGCAACCTCAGCAACTTAGTGAGATCCTGTCTCAAAACAAAAACAAAAACAAGGACTAGAGATGTAGCTTAGAGGTAGAATGCTTGCCTAGTACGTGCAATGTCCTGGGTCATTCCTCAGTGCTGAAAAACAAGCAAAACCAAGATTCTGAATCCTGAGAGCCATCGGGATCCAAGAGTTCCATTAAGGAAAGGTGGATCTGCAGTCTAAACCCAGGTTTAAGTTTAGACAGAAGAAACTGGACGTTTAAATGTCTCCTCCACTCAGAGATGCACAGGCCCCTGCCAGGCAGAACAGACAAGGCCTTGAGCTGTTGGGCAGGAAGAGTCCCAGGAAGATGAGAAAGGTGGAAGAACTGGGACAGCAAAGGACAGTGGCTATTTATCATCTGGTACACAAGCACGGCTTTTTTATGCTATCAAAACCCTATGGCATGGGGCTGAGGTTGTAGCTCAGTGGTAGAGTGCTTGCCTAGCATGCATGAGACATTAGGTTCAATCCTCAGCACCACATAAAAAATAAAATTATTGTGTCCATCCACAACTAAAATATATATATATATATTAAAAAAAAAAAAAAAAAAACTGTGGCAGCCTGGAGGTGTAACTGCTACTCACAGTTATCGCCTTGCCTATCTCTCCCTGTAGCAAGACCTTGAACAACACACTTATCTCCTTGCCTGGGCTTCTCCATCTTTTAAAGGAATCCACCAGAGAGCACTAGGTGGAGATGGAAGGACTGAAGCATGGAGAACACTTCAGGAACTCAGTGGGCATCAGCTACTTTGATTGTTCCTTCCTCCAGTGAGTATGCGTTGACCATCCTGTACCATTCCAGGCCCCTGTAGGCAAGACAGAGCATAAGTTACAGTCTGAACTCAAGGAGAGACAGAATGTGCACAATTAAAAGCAAAATTGGGCTGAACAGATTAAAGTAAGATTTCAGAAAAGAGCTTGACCTGGAGAAGCAGCAGCTTGGGCAATAAGAAAAGTGCCCTAGGCTGTGTCAGGAGCCCATGTCCAGACTGACTCACTGTGCAACTGGAGCAAGACTCTTTTCTCTCTGGCCCAGTTTTCCTTACTGACAAAATTCAGATCTAGACTTTGGCCTCCTCAAAGGTCATTGCACTTAGATGCCAAATATCTTCAGGACTCTTCTTAGGAGTCTAATTTATCATCTGATAGATTCCCAAGGCTACCACCAAACTAAAATGTGGAAGCCAAAGGGGGCAGGTTTCTGCTCAAAGAAAGGACATTTGGAAGGGGGTAATGGGGAACCCAGGAGCATTTTTCCATTGGGCTACATTCCCAACCCTTTTTTATTTTGAGACATGGTCTCACTAAGTTGCTTGGAGCCTCACTAATTTGCTGAGATTGGCCTCGAACTTGTGTTCTTCCTGCCTCAGCCTCCGGAGTCACTGGGACTACAGGGGTGCCAAGGACTTTCTAAGGTGTTCTCCTACACTTAGAAAGGTGCCCCGCCTCTCCTCATCCCAGTGAGGCAGGCTTGGGGTTTGTTCATTGGGTAGGGAGTCAGAGCAGATGGACACATGGTCCCTTCCCTCTGAGATTCCATAAACTCTGACTCAAAAGAGGCCTTGGGTTTGCAGAGTGTTTGACAATTTACCAAGTAGATCTGTCTTAAGGTTATCTTTACAGAAGGTCTAGAAGACAGAGGGGTAGGAACTCAAGTCATGTCACAGGAGGATGCTAGGGGCAGGAAGGAGGAGCAGAGATACCCTCCAGGACACCTAGATGTGATGTGGCCTACATTAAGGGAGGGGAATCTATAGCACATGTGTTATGGTTTAGATATGAGGTATCCCACAAAAGCTCATGTATGAGGGGCTGGGGTGGTGGCTCAGCGGCAGAGCGCTTGCCTAGCATGTGCAAGGTACTGAGTTTGATCCTCAGCAACACATATGAATAAATAAATAAATAAATAAAGATTAAAAAAAAAAAAAAGCTCATGTGTGAAACAATTCAGGATGGTTTAGAGATGGAATTACTGAGTTCAGAGAGTTTTAACCTAATTAGTGCATTAATTCCCTAATAGGGATTAACTGTGTAGTAACTGCAGGCAGGTAGTGTGTGGCTGCAAGAGGTGAGTCATTGGGAGGTGTGCCTTTGGGGTATATATTTTGTTCTTGGCAACTGAAACTCTCTCTCTCTCTGCTTCCTGGTGCTTTGTTCTGAACTGCTTTCCTCCTCTACATCTTTCTGCCATGATGCCCTGTCTTACTTGGGCCAAAAGCAATGGAATTGACCATCTATGGACTGAGACGTCTAAAACTGTGAGCCCCCAAATAAACTTTTCCTTCTCTAAAATTTTTCTTGTCAGGTCTTTTGGTCATGGCAGCAAAACGTTGAGTAAAACCACACATAATACACAAAATACAAATTATCAGTGGTAGAGTGCCTGTTTAGCATGTATAAGCCCTGGGTTAGCACCAAAAAATAATCATAATTGACTGGGGCTGTAGTTCAATGGCAGAGTACTGCAGCCATCCCTGAAAAAATATATAAATAAATATAATAATAATACAAATTATACACCAAGTAGAACACAGAGAGTATGTTAATGTGGGGTTAGAGGCAATAAGGACTGGCAGGGGGGGTAGGGGAGGAGTCTATGCCCTCATTCCCCTCTCCTTGATAGGGCATTTCTGCCCCTGCTCTGTGACCATCCCTGTCTCTCATACACACATACCCCTCCTTCTGGTCTCTTGAGGACACATGCTCCCCATCCACCTCAACTTTGGCCAGACACTAGAGAGGAGATTCCACCTTGCTCCTTGAGACTGTAAGTACAGCTGGGCGAACACCAGGCAGCCTCACCCACAGGAACCCCCAAGGCACTGTGGTCCAACAGAGTCTGCTCTGCTTTGTCCCCAGAGACAAAGGATTATGCCAAGGTTTACACAGGAGGAGAGCCAGGCAGGAGAAGAAGCAAGGGGACAGCTCTCTGGAGGAAGTGGGCAGCATGCTGACAGAGGAGGATGAGTGGAACCTGGTAGGCAGGTAATAGGGACAGAGAATGGTGGCAGGAGCACCAGGAGTAAGGGCTTATAGAGCCACCTGCCCTGGGCCTAGGAGAGCTCACCTTCCAGAATTAAAGCAAGGGAAATTTTGGAAGGAGCCAAGACATTATGAAGGGGGAGAAATTGACTTTGAATTATGAAAATACCTCCTCCTACACACTTGGAAATATACTTTCTTAAATATATTAAAGCAGGTATCTCTGGTTCATAAGTCATAGAGGAGCCAGATTACCCACCCTGCAGACTGTGAGCCTGCAGATAGGTTTATTTCATGCATAGTAAGTTCCCTCCCTCAGTGTGTGATTCATATCATATCCAGATGCACCAGGCTCAGAACGAAGTCTGGTATCTCTCACTTTGCCTGCCCTGTCCAGAAGAAATGGGGTAAGTAGGGGGGTCCAGGTCTTGAAAAAGACATGTGGGCTGCCCCGGGACAAAGAGAAGGTGAATGGAAATATCAGGGCCTGCAATCCCAGCACACCACTAAATTTTCTCTTCCTTCCTATAATAGCAGCTCCAAATGGCCCCGTCCCAGCTTCCCAGAGAGATGCCCCTGAAACAACCCAGGAGAGGCCACTGCCTCCATTGTCCCTCTTGCATCCTCCCACACCCAGGAATCTGTGCAGGTCTGCACTCAGTGCCTGATTCCCAGGTCCTGACTTATAGATGGGTGGAGGTGGAGGCCTGGGTCCAGTGGCCACAGGAGAGAGAGGAGACACTCTGGGGAAATTCTGTGAGTGGACTGAACCTCTGTGGTATCCCCGTGGGCCCAGTGTACTTGTTGCAAACCATCCCCTGCGCTCAGGCACTGTCCCTCTAGCTGCTCTATTCCCTACTCCTGCTTCCCAGGCTCAGGTGAAATCCTGCCTCAGCCAGGTGGCAGCCACAGAATCCTTCCCTGGACAGTGCCAGGACCTCTGGCCCAGAACAGGTCATCATGTCCTGTGCTACCCAGGAGGCAGGGAAAGTTTTTGGTCCCGGTCTGGTGTGGACAAAGCCCCTGGCCAAGCATGGACACACCACGCAGGTCAGACAACTCCAGGACTGGGAGATGAGGGAGGGTATCTCTCACGGCTCCCTCAGTCCCACCATCCTGGTCCTCACTCAAGATACTCTGGGCTCTTGGAGCAGACTGTGGCAAAGGTTGAGGGGGAGGAGTCGGGAGATAAGTATGAGACCCTGACCTCTCTGCCCAGTCCTGTGAACAATCCACACACTAATCCCAAGACTGTCTTTAAATCCCTCTCTTGCCACTCCCTCACCACTCTGTAAACACCTTTATGGCTTCCCATTGTTAAAAGAATAAAATCTGATCTTATCCTTGCATTCCAGCTCTCACACCTCCATTCTGTCTCCTTCCTTAACTCTCTAGTCTCCTCCTCTGAACCCTTGGCCACCTGAACTGACCCCAAGCTGTGTTTCCTAAACTGCCTCCTGCCAGGAGTGCTTCTCAGCCTGTTTTCTGCAACCACACTACTCTCCAGGCTCACAAGTCACACCTCCTCCCTGAGCCTCCCCCATAACTAACTCCACTACACTAATTGTATTAGCACCACTCATCCAGATTGTTCCTTTACTACTTGGGAAACCTGGTCCCAGCCATCCATGCCTCTGGCCTCTCTGTTGTGTGGGGCATAGTTTATTTGAGTAAAAACATCAGAGCATCGATGGTCCGCTATTCCCTCCTAGAAGGGAGGGAAGAGAATCCCATAGCAGGGATGAAAAACTTCCAGCTTGAACCCAAGAGATGTCCACATACTGATTCAAAATGAGAGGTCCCCCTCTGGTTTGCAATGCCTGTATTCTGTGTTAGAGGAGGAAAGCCACCAAGGACACAGAGAGAGAGTCCCAAAGGTAGAGACAAAAGCTGGAGAAAGAGAGATGGAACTTAGAATCAAAGACTGCAGGGGCTAAAGGGGCCCTGAAACTAGGTCCTGGGAAAGAATGTGTGTCATTGTAGATAAAAGAAAATGGAAGCTTCCTGGGGAGGAGGGGTGTCTGGTCTTATCTGATGTTTACATTCCAGAGGGTCCTGCTGCTTCTCTTCTTAATTAGAAAATACCTGCGGAGTGTTCCTCCTGCACGATGCAGGGACAGAGGAATTCTGGAGCCTCCCTCCCTCCCAGACTTGCCCCACTTCGCCTCTGACCACCCCTGTCTTGCAGTGTGGGTAGACTGATGGGAGCAGGGGTTCGGTCTTGATTTTATGTTTCTTTGTCTATGCAGGCCACATCCCTTGAGATGAATTCCTTGAGGGGTAACGTGAGAGGGTCTGAAACTATCAAGACACTGCAAGAAAAAAAAAAAATGTCAGAACTAGCTAGTGAGACAAATAGATTGAGATTGTCTCAATCTGCCATACCCTCCATTACCCCACCACCATCATTAGGTTAAGGGAGCTGACACTACCCCACTCCTCCCCCAGCTGTCCTACCATGTATGTGTGAGACACCATGCCGGGGCACAGACACTGCTGTGATGGTCTTTGTCCTCAGTATTAGATGGTAAAGTCATGATCCAGCACTAACCATGCCATGAGCAGGGAGAGACAAAGTTGTCTTAGAGGACTAGGCAAGTTCCCAGAAAAGCAACGATAATTGAGTGGCCCTTGAAGGACCCATAGATGGTGAGTGGGGCTGTGAGACAGGGAAAGGGCATCTTAGGCAGAGGGAAAAGTCTGGGCAAAGTTCTGGATCCCATCCTCTCCTTAAACCATCAGATGACTCCCTCTCCCCCTCACGGAGTCTCACCGACTCTGCTACATCCTTCCCATTAGCCTTCAAGCATGTTCTAATATTGCCTGCCTTAGAACATCCTCTCTGGACATGGCCCTCAGCAGCTCCTTTTCCAGCTCTCCTGTTTCTTCTCACAGCTGAGTGACTCACATTATGCTGGAAAGAGCTCTGCATACCTCTGCTCTCTATTCCTCCCCACCTCACTCTTCAGCCTCAGTTTCCATAACTCCTCAGAAGCTGCACTAGCCAAGGTTCCAGAGACTTCCATGTCAGTGGCCACTGGGCATCTCTTCTTTCCTTGACCTCTTAACTTCCAGCAACATAGCACTTCCTACTTTTGGAAACTCTCCTTCCTGGTAGCCTTTATGCTTCATGGCAGATTTTCCTTCTCAGATGATCCTCTTTTACCCTAATCTGTAAAGGCTGAGTTCCCCAGGCCTGGGTCCTAGGCCCTCTTCTCATTACTTGTACTATTATATCTCCGTCTGTTTCCATGACTTTAATCACATCTTCCGCATACCAAAGCCTTCCGAATGTAAATGTCCAACTAAGTCCTTTCTGAAACCACCTGTGAAACTTTCTGCTTGATGCTTCCTTTCAGATGTCTCTTAGGCATCTCAAAGTTAACCTGTTCAAAACTGAATTATCAGTCTTAGCCCCCACCAGCTCCTTCTTAATTATGGCTCACTTAGAAAATGGCAAGCCAAGAAGGAGTGGTGCATGCCTGTAATTTCAGTGATTCAAGAGGCTGAGGCAGGAGGACCACAAGTTCCAGGCCAGTCTCAGCAATTTTAGCAAGGCCCTAAGCAACTTAGTGAAACTCTGTTTCAAAATAAAAATAAAGGGCTGAGCTAGGGCTGGGAACATAGCTCAGTTGGTAGAATGCTTGCCTTGCATGCACAAGGCCCTGGGTTCAATCCCCAGCACCACAATAAATAAAATAAAAATGGGCTGGGAATATGGCTCAGTGATAAAGCCCCCAAGGTTCAATTTCCCCAGTACCAAAAAGAATAGAAAGAAAAGAAAATGACAAACCATCCAGCAAATTGCTCCTGCTGGAAACCTGGGAGACACATACACACATCTTATGGGCATTGATCTCTGAGCCTCCCACATGCTCAGCAAGCACTTCCCTGCCAAGATGCACCTCCCCAGCTGGGAATCATATCCCACACCTACTTCTTGCTTACGCCTCCCCCAATCCCAGGCATCTAATGAACTGATAAGTCTAGTTCCAAAGCTTGTCCAAATCTATTCCCTTCTCCCCACCTACACACCAAGTCCAGGCTGCAGCCACCTTTTCTCAGTACGACCGCAACACCTTCCTAACAGGTCTTCCTGTGGTCACCATAACCCTTCAGCCTTCTGCCACACACCATCTAGACTGGTCTTTAAAAATAAATCTCTACTACAGAGTTATAGTAACAGAAACTGCATAGTATTGGCACCAAAACAGACACATAGACCAATGGTACAGTATAGAAGACACAGAGACAAACCCACATAAATACAGTTATCTCATACTAGACAAAGACATCAAAAACATCCATTGGAGAAAAGATAGCCTCTTCAACAAATGGTGCTGGGAAAATTGGAAATCCATATATAATAAAATGAAATTAAATCTCTATCTCTCACCCTGCACAAAACTCAGTTCAGTGTGGATCAAGGACTTACTTCAGCACTAGAAGAGAGACACTGCACCTAATATAAGAAAAAGTAGGCCCAATTCTTCACCATGTTGGCTTAGGAACTGATTTCCTTAACAAGACCCCTAAAGCACAAGAAGTAAAATTAAGAATCAATACATAGGGATGGAGTTGTAACTCAGTGGTAAAGCACTTGCCTAGCATGGATGAGGCCCTGGGTTCAATTCTCAGCACCACATACAAACAAATTAATAAAATAAAGGTTAAATTTTTTAAAAAATCAATAAATAGAATGGAATCAAACTAAAAAGCTTCTTCACAGCACAGGAAACAATCAAGAACATGAAGAGAGAGCCTACAGAATGGGAGAAAATTTTTACCACATGCACCTCAGATAGAGCATTAATCTCCAGGACATATAAAGAACTCAAAACACTTAACACCAAAAAAGCAAATAATCAATAAATGGGCTAAGGATTTGAACAGACACTTCACAGAAGAAGAAATACAATTGATAAACAAATATATGAAAAAAATGTTCAACATTTCTAGTGATTAGAGAAATGCAAATCAAAACTACAATAAGAT